GTCATTCTTTAATCCTTGTCCTGCTAAATATCTTAAACAGACTTGTTCATCTTTCCACCCATTACTTGTAGGGGATTTTTAAAAAAAAAAAAATAGTGTACGGACAGACAAGAGAACAGTGCAGACCATTATCAAACACGCAAAGGGTATTAAATCGATGATCTTGGGGCTGCCCCTGGCTGCATTTGGGAAAATTTTTCAGTCAATGGTTAGCCCCCTGAGGGTTTATACCAAAAAAATAAAATTTTGGGGCAAGGGCAAAGAAACAAAAATGGAATTTTTTTTATTAAAAACAAAAATATTTTCATTTGTAAAATTTGTTTAATTTTAAATTTCCCTTTTTAATTTTTATTTTAAAATTAAAAAAAAAAGCCAAAAAAAAAGGTTTTTAAATTTTCAGATATAAAATTTAAATTTTAGGGTTTTAAAAATTTTCAAGTTTTTCTGATAATGTACATTTTTGATTGATTTCGTTGTCAATATGGAAAATATTACACATCTGTCTAAAAAAAGACCTTCAACTTGCATGAAACAACCTTTTCATGCATGATTCAAATTTGTAGCTGGTTTTCATTAAATGGAATAAATATCTTTCACTATGCATATAATGCTATTTTTGACAGTTTTTCATATACAATGTATCATAACTAGTATATTAATTAACATATTAAGTGTTGTTTTTGTTTTGGTGTTTTTTGTTGTTGTTTTTTTTTTGGCTAAGATTTAAGTGAATGAAATCAAGCGTGCTGTTACTTATCAAAAACAAACATTAAATCATGGAAATTTATAATATTCAAGCCATATTTGCTATTTTAAGAATCAAATCAAAGCATTCAAACATGGGTTATTCTGCAATAAACAATGGCACTTTAGACTGACATTACGTATTCTATGTGACATTATATTTCAAGCACAGTGTACAAAACATTAAGATAGGGACTGCAAAATTGAACAGACATTGCAAATTTTTGTACTAAAAAATACCTCCAGGAAATATATAAACTTAACATACAATATAATTCTACTTGATGTCAACATTTCATGGAAAAAGGAAGCTCTTAAGAAATGGAAGTTATTTATATTCAATTGTGTGGTTGTGTTACATTAGTCACATCGTCATTGTTAAGATTAGTTGGAAACCTTCTAGCTTTATTGGAAGAGGAAGACCTAAAGTGCCCGACCGCACCTAAGTAATATCACCAGTATTCCATAAACTAGCTGGAAGAAGTTAAATTACAAGAAGGAAGATAGAGATGAATCTGTGATGTACACAGTTTCACATATGAGATCAACTTGGTTTATTGGCTCTCAAGTTACACTAACACTCACTGTAAAGGTCATACCGCAACTTTCTAGCTAGAAGACTTCAGCTGCTCCTCCGTCTGCGCATTATTTCATGTATGAGCAGGCCTCTTGATAGAAAACTATAATTATCATCCCCTTAGTGCAGTAATGAGTTATGTCCTTCTAAATTTAAAAGGAGTTAACCAGTTATTGCACTAAAGTGATAATTTATACATTATATCTTCAAATAGCTAGCTGGCTAGCCTATTCTACACATGACATAAGATTCAAACACACAACTGAAATGGGCAAGTGATTCCAAATCAGTTACATTGACCACTAAGCCATAAACAGAGAAAGAGCTGTCATTGATGGAAAATTTTGTATAGATATATTGAAAGCTAAATATAGGCCATACATTAATATATTGCATTCAATAGCTTGTTCACTTGAATATGTATAATAAACTGCTATCATGATCTATAATGATTTTATACTTTACAAACACACAGTACCAAAAGAAAGTATGTTTCTTGTAATTATATCTTAAAAACCTGAAATATTCATATAAACTATATAATTGAGAAAGCCTACAAGCGTATCAATGTAATGCGAAAGTTGAAATTTATCCTTGATCGTCATTCACCGGAAAAAATTTATATGTCTTTCATTCGTCCTCTTAGAATACAGTGATGTAAACTTTGATAACTGTTCAGCTCAAGAGAAGGAAACAATCAAAAAAAAAAAGGTTCAGTATGAGGCAGCTGGTATTGTAAAGGGTGCAACAAAACTTGTGTCAATAATGAGGTAGGGTGGGAATCCCTTGAATCTCGTCGTAATAAACACAAACTTGTTCTTTTTTATAAGATGACCAAAAATCTTGTCCCTCCTTATCTTTCTGAAATGCTTCAAGTTTCCACCAATGAACAATCATATAACCTATCAAATCAAAACTGTTGCCGAGTTCCCAGAGCTTGTACCATGCTATATTATAATTCTTTCTTGCCATCCACAACTCGAGCCTTAACAGTCTTCAAAGTGATATTTTCAAAGCTCTCCAACATTATCGTCATTTAAACAGAGTATATCCCCTAACTTTCAAAAGCCACCAAAATATCTTTACTATGGCAAGAGAAAACTCAAGATTTTCCACACACGTCTGAGAACCAACTGTAGCTCTTTGGCTGAAAACCTTTTTTCTATGAATATCATACCTTCGCCTCTTTACGTCTGTGGACAAAGGGAAACAACTCGTCTTTTTTTTTCTGGACTGTCCTCTTTATAAAAACATAAGACCTCAGTTGCTAAACTGTATAAACACATACTGTCATGTTTCACTAAATACTGTTTTGTTTGGTAACACGGCACTTACAGACTCAGATAAGAGAAAATATTCCTCGCAGTTCATAAATATACTAAAAAATCGAATCGCTTTGACTCTCCAACAGTTTTCAACTATCATTAAGGGTTAAATCACAGGTCTTTTCTTCTGTTGTTTTTTTTCCCCTTTTTTTCTGTCTCATTTCCCTGTCTATCTGAACTTATCAAACTATTATCATTAATAGTATTATTTTGCATTTCTTTTTAAAAATTGGTTTATATTTATTTATTCATTTTTCGATGCGATTTGTAACATACCAGCTTTCTTAGTAAAAAAACGACAATTTCTTTCGGCTTATTTTGCACATATATTTATTGTTCATAGCAGGGTCTTTCAAATAGAATTATTTGAAAGACCCTGTTCATAGAGAAAAAGACTTCAATAAGCATCAGGTTGCTTCCAGTCTAATCCTTTTCTTATATTGATTGTAATATTATGTATGTAAATATGCTTGTGTGACAAATAAAATATGTTTAAACCAAAACTTCTGAAATTTAAATCCAGTTTTAAACTAGGCAAGATAAGGGGAGAAAAGTGACTTTTTCCCTGCACACAAATTAGCGTGATATTTTCACATGACATAAAGAAATGGGTTTACAATTTTATCAATATTCTAAATTGTGAATTGATATTGTATTGATTGTTAAATATTGAAGATATATCAATATTACTATTTTTCAATGACAGCCTTACCATAAAGGCTTCATGAGAGTAACAAGAGTTGTTAATTAATATGGCTGTAACTCCAAGAATATATTACATGTATATATAAAGTTTTCACCTTTGTTTCAGCAAAGCTTATATAAAACTATGTGTAATACAAAATTAATAACTCCATAAAATTGCATCCTGAATCAAAATACATAGCATCTGTTATGTATCAAAAGGTCTTCCAAAAAGGAAAATCAAAGATCCGAGTTAGAAAATAGCTGTTAAGAAAATAGTTACACACTCTTTACTCTGATATGTTTACTTTTTTCCAAGCAAAATTAAGAAAGTTAGTATGCAAAAATAGTGCAGACAAGTTTACATTCTGAAAAAAAAAACAGCAATAAGTATTGTCAAAATATATTGGAATTATTTATCATATACATAACCATAAAGGTGAACAGGATAAAATCTGGATTAAAAGAAAAAGCTTTCAGCTCAAATTTTACAATCATCCAAAGACATTTAACACAACATGGATCTACTTTAAAGAATATACAAAAAAAATTCATTGTGAAATGTACCCCTGCCTTTAAAGCAGTCTTTTTGTTTCCTTAACAAAAAAATTGTAACATTTTCCTCTGAACAAAAACTACTACCTTTTCCTTTATGTGTTGGAGATACAAACTTACAATTCTGTCAGATTAACTAAATCTGTCATCTTGTAAAACTGGACAGTAAAATTTTTAGTAAACTTCAGTTGATTTTTTTACCGTAACAACATTAAAACTGGTCTCTAAAGCTATCAAACAATCAAACTCCCTTACTTACGGTGGTGATAACAAGTCATGACATTTGTTTCCGTTAACATTGTGTTATCGTTTATGGTACATGTATTTTTCTTGTTGTTGTTTTTTTTTTACTTATAAACATATACCACCTTCCACGTAAATATTTTGTCGACTCTGTTGGTATGTAGCTTTCCATTGCAGCTCTTTAACTTTTCGGTTTATTTTTGCAGAAATTTTTCGATGCTGCAATATTTTTATGAAAATATTTGTCCCATTTTCTGCAGCATATCGGAAACAGTACAAGAGCCATATTTAAAAAATATGTACCGTTGGAACTTTAGAAATATTTGCCAGGAACATGGTGTGTGTAAATGAAAAATTAGTAAATACAATTATCAGTGACGCAATGTTACCGTAAACAAACATCAAATGATCACCCAAATTGTTAATTATATTATTCAAGCACACATTTACAGGTACACAACTAAATGATGATCTAACTGTATAATCAGTATAATATATGCATCTTTATAAAATATAATTGAGCCGTGTCATGACAAAACCAACATAATGGGTTTGCGACCAGCATGGATCCAGACCATGGCAGCCTGCACATCTGCGCAGTCTGATCAGGATCCATGCTGTTGTTCAACCTAGTACAAGTATAGTGAAAAAACTTGATTGTAGCTGAACAGGGATGAAATAGTATACATTATCAGGACTGCAACAAATCCACTGATCATCCATGTGGGTCGCGTAAATCAGATAATTTGTTTTTTATAACTGTAATTGTACAAAAAGAACCTAAAACACTGCCGATGGAACATATCACGTGAAACCATAGCTAAACCTACTATAAATAGCAGTTAAATATTTTGCTAGAGAACATTTTATTCTCTGGTGTCTTATTTAATTATTATTCATATACCCTAAATATCAAAGCCCTTTTTTGTGGAAAATCTCATCAAATATGACAATAAGACTATAAAAAAGCAACATAATAGCAAATGTCAGGAGGGCAAACTGAATTGGATCAAGTTTGGACATAATAAAATTGTATGACAACAAACACAATAATTTTAACATATATGTTTTGTTGGAAATATGCAAGCATATGACTACAAATAATGCATATACATAATATACAAATAAAGACAAATTATTACAATTTTCTTTTCAAATTCTCTAATTATGACATTGTTGGTCTTCCATAATTATACTGAAGAGTAAAAAAAAAACAGGAAAAAATGATGATTAGTGAAATAACATAAACACTGAGGATCAGAAAAAAATACATGTATAAGAAAACAGACATGAAAACTTTATGCTCCTTCTGAGGAAAAAGATTAATCAAAAATAGCCTATAAAACAATTTTGTTCCTTATCAAATAAAAGAAGAACAAAATTATTATTCTATCAAATATGAGGTATCAGACTGAATGAAATGTGGATGTCTATATATAACACAACATGAGGCGTAAATAAACTCAACTATTATCAAGCTAACTCAACAAAACAATGTACATACATTGTATATGATCCCAGAATAAACTTATAAATAATCTATCTCTAATCTCTTATGCTATTATCAAAACAAAAAACAAAACTCTCCGTCAAATAAACAAGAAAAATTTACATTCATGTAGAAAAGAAGTTCAGTCATACATATTAATGAGCCGCGTCACGACAAAAATTACATTGTGCGCATCTGGGCAGTCTGATCAGGATCCATGCTGTTCGCGATCAGTTTCTCTACTTGTTATAGGGTTGGTAAGCAAACAGAATGGATCCTGATCAGAATGCACGGATGCGCAGGCTGGTCTGGATCAATGCTGGTCGCAAACACACTATGTTGGTTTTGTCGTGATGCGGCTCAATTTTCTATATTTAGGACACAAAACAAGAAAAGTTCACTTTCACCCACTAATTTCATACCTCAGTCATTACTCTTAAATGACCTTGACCCTTCACCTGCTGGAACCAAATGTGGTCGACCTATTTTACGGCTACATAGCCAAACCAGCAGGCACATCCATGTCATCTGTCAAGGTTCTATACTTGTAGTAGCTGAATTTTTGAAGTTTGTTATAGAGATCCCTTAAACTTGGAATGGACTGTTCCGAATTTTAGACTGGATAAGTCCACTTCACAAATTTAGTGTTAACTTAAGTATCATTGATGAATTTTTAACAGTTACGGGCTAGCAAAATAAAAAAATTAAATGATGTAACACTAAACAATTTAAAGTAGGTTGCCATGCACCATTTGGCAGTTATGGTTCTGATTTCTGGCACATATAGAAATAAATGACCTGGTCTTGTTTCTTGTTGTACTAAAATAGCACTTAAATGACACATACAATCAAATGAAAATGGTGGTCATAAGGTCAAATATTCAGTATCAAATGCTTATTTGGAACCCTAATAGTCATAACACAGTCTTAGTATTTAAGTAAACCGAGGTTGACTGCATACTGGCAACTTTAAAACTCATCTGACAAAACCTCCATTTTGTATACACATCCTTTCATTTTAATTAAGAAATAATATATCCCAAACTGTGATTTTATTGCTCAATAACATCACTGTTTAGAGTTCGGATGCGAGGAATTATATCACGAGGGCGTAGCCCGAGTGATATAATGATGCGCATCCGAACGACAAACAGTGATGTTATTAAGCAATAAAATCACCGATTTGGATATATTATTTCGATTCTAACACGACATCAACAAATAAATGCTGTCGTACCTGATATTTAGCTAAATAGCGCCTGATTTGTTTCCGTTCTTATTGTCAGCGCGTCACATTTTTTTAGTGGTTATGTCACATGTATAATGATTACGTCACACGTCTAAATATAGAACGTCAAACAGTGATTTTATAGCATAATAACACACACTTTCGGTTTTTCTATGTTTAATAGGGGAAATGCGGGTCCGACCCGGTCGTGTTAGAATGTAGATTAGATTAGGTACCAGTTACCTTGTAACTTTAAAAGGGTGGTTTGGTAAATATATATATCAATAGATATCATAACGAAGATAAAATATATATATATCAAAATATCATAAAAGGATAAATACTGAGGATATATATCAAGGATAAGTATATATCATAAGATACACTGTATTTATAGACTGAGGGAAAATATTTATATAGCTCTTCACATAGCAATTATTATCTCCCCTTGCCACCATTTAAATGGTTGTTTCTAATATATTATAATTATGCTTAAGATAAAAAAAACTCTCATAATTATATTATCTTCATGAAAACAGATAAAAATCTATAAAGTATCGTTGCTATTATATTTTCTTGCATCTGTATTTAAGAATTTGACAAGTCACGTAACTTGGCTGTGTGTATTGATTTCTTTGAGATTTTATCAAACATATTATATACTATATAGAATATTGATCCCAAAAATTGCTGTCACATATGGCAAGGGAGATAAATATTGTAACTATCAGGAACTATTTATTTTGTTTCTTTGTTTTGTTAGGTTTTAAGTCATACTGGCACTGTAATGATAATATGGTGACTTTCCAGCTTTACTGGTGAAAATATATCTCAGATGCTCCTCCAGGCATTCATTCAGGTTTATGCTGGGCACCTGAGTAGAACAACAACGTTCCATTAGCTAGCTGGATAGCTTCCTCACACAGAAGGATTCAAAGTCCCTGGCCAGATTCGAACCTACAGGGGTAAAATGCAAGTAGTTTGAAGTAAAAAAATATACATATCATATTAAGATATAATAAATTGAGGATTAATCTATAAAGAAATACCCTGATGACTTTACAATGTTTGTATATGCTTTCATATGTGGAATTATAAGTAATTTTCCCCCCAAATTTCACAATCAAACTTACATACAGGTAAAAGGATAATATCTATATGACACGATTATAAAGCTGATGTCTCATAAATAAAACATTTTGTTTGTTTGTTTTATTACATTGAAGAACAGCTTACTTTAACTGCTAGTATAATATAATGAACATTATTTTATATGAAACATGAACCCACTGTCATGTTCATAGTACAATGCCTTTTAATAATATTATATGTATGTTTTTTTTATCATCGACAATAAAATTTACCTGTATTGTCACACCAGTAATTTTTCAGTAATACAAGAACAAATTTAATATGGCAAACTTGCGTTCAAATACATTACTCTGTGACACCATAAAAATAATATAATTTATTATATAATGATTTTAATTATGTGTATAAAACATAATTGCATATATAATATACAGTATTTCTTAATACATAATGTCTATAAATGAATGATGATGATAATTGGTCCAGGTGATAAGTTCATAATATTAACACAATTTGTAGTATTTCATATAATTTTAAACATAATCATACATTATACAGCAAAACAGTATTTTATCCTACATTCAAACATAGCCAGTATAATTTACTCCCACAAATATTTCTCCTATTTATTATTACAAATGATTGGATAAAGCTCATGCCAGCTGATACATTTTACTCCCTAGTTGTACTTTTTTATATTTATGATAATAGACTGTCAAAATTTAAATATTTATCTACATTTGATCATTTATTTAATAATTGCTAAAATATGGGCAAATATTTTTCATTTTGTAACAGTTAGTCCCTCTGATATCTTAATAGTGGTCCTTGGTTTTATATTAATGTTTGCTCCCTCTATTTTGTCAAGGTTTAAGTCACACAGACAAAGTTATAATTATGTCAACTTTCTAATTAACTATTGACAAAAACCATGCATCTACTCCAAATGCATACTTTCAGACACATTAGCCAGTATTTGAGAAAAAATACCTACCACATTATAAAATCTAGCTGGAATACAATATCCAATGCAGGATTTGAACATAAAGTGGACAGAGGAAAGTGATTAAAAAGTCAGAGATCGTAACCACTCAGCCATAAAGACCGCAACTGAAAAATACTTTATCTCATTATGTTTAAACCTGTAATTGAAACTTTGACATTTTCTTCATTCGGCATGATAAAATGAATTTTTTTGTAACAAGACAATTTCAACAAAATGAACTTGGATAAAAATTCAAGATTCAATGAAAAATTTGCATAAAATGGGAAAGTTTTTTTTTTATAAATAAACAAATTAACATTAATTTCAGATTACTTTTGATTCAATTTACAATCATGCGCAACACTACATATACTGTACATGTGTCAAAATAAGTGATAAACGAATAAAAACAATTTATGCAATTAAATAATGAAGTATTAATATGCAAACAATTGAAGCATTAAAGTAAAAAAGTGGAGATACATTTCTTATAAAAAAATCTGATTTTAAAGAAGAAAGATAATATACTGAAATTTGATTGAGCAACATGAATATTAATTATGCACTGTAAAGGCCTGGTTTCGATTATTCTCGTTTTCAGATTTTGTCACAAATAATCTGAGAAATTGAATGATGATCATTTTTAAAGATATTTTTATCTATAAATACTATGCACATAAACTTTAAGTAGCATAACTTCTATAGCCTGAGTAGGGCCCAGTCTACACTTTTTTTTCAGCAGAAAGTGAAACAATAAAAATCATTTATTTGTCTTACTTCATTTTCCAATAACCACCTGGCAATACTCATTTTACTCAATGTATGCCAAAAATGCATCTTTGACATTCCAGAGCCAGCAAAGTTTCTTTTGGCTGAATGCCCCTTAATCCCCCTACAATTCAGGTTACCACATAAATTAAAGTTATGCCCCTTCTTTACACTCACACTCTGCACATAATGTAAAATAAACAATTATGCTATTTCTCATAATAGTTGAAAGGCATAAATCGTACAATAAATATTAGAGGAATAAATTCATGTATTTTTTTTTATAAAATAAAATTAATGCAATAATGATATATATATCAGCAACAAGTATACATTTAACAATATCAAAATTACTTTACACACCTAACTATATTTATATTCTATCTAAATATAACCATATTAAATGACCATTTAAATGAATGAAAAACAAAACATATACAGCAAATTCCTGCATCAAAATTACCCATCATGCTTTTGTAATCTATATTGTCTGCTTTTGTTTTTGTTTTGAAAATTCAAGTTCCAAATGGAAGCAAAAGATAAACTATTGATACCAAAGAGCAACAAATGAGCAACAATGACTGAAAATGACTGAAAGCACTGGGAGTTGGGGGAGGAGGTTTGTCTGTGAAGAATCTGATCACTTTACATTGCCATTTGATTTCTGAGCGAACTTTGCGAAGGCTTTTTGGAGTTCAGGCTTTTCTGATTCGTCTTTCTCCGTAATTGTTTTCATTTCATCCTCCTGAAAAAAATACAGACTAGAAATGTGTCATCATGCCATGGATGCCCCCGCGAGCAGCCAAAATTTCAGATGTTATAATATTTAGTTCCAAATTTGTTTGCACAAATTATTTTTTTCATTTTAAGTTCAAAGCCCTTAAAACTATTCAATGTTAACTCAAACCATATTTATACAATGTTAAAGGCACTGAAATTATTCAGTCTTAACCTTTGTAAATTGCATATTGCATATTTGTAGCCGAAATAATGGCCACATACATTTCCACAAAAGTATGAGTGCTGAAACTGAAAATTCAAAATTTTTCCAACATTCAAGAAAGATAAGTTTGTCTCAAAATCATTAAACCACTACCAAATTCAAACTTGAACTGCTTATTCCTAAGATGTATCTACCTGGTACATGTCAAATTTGAGTTGAATGTATGCAACCGTTACTAAGATAATGAACGGAAACTAATGATGAAGGAATGACAGAATTATGGAGGGACGGAATGACGGAACAGCGTAACACTATATGAACTGACATTACATTAGTGACCTTTCTTATCATTTCATATTCATTTTATTTCGTCAACTTAAAGCAGAGTCGAACCACAGGGACTGTAACACGTAGAAATTGCACCACAGGTTGGAACATAGCTGGGAATTTTAAAATGAGGAAAAAATTTCGTTTAATGTCCAAAATCCTTAAAATATTGCATCTTTTTGTATATATTTTTTTACTGAATCTAATATATATAATATTTTTACTGAATCTAATATATATAATATTATCTTGTTTTGTTTGCAAACAGACTGTAAAATCTTTTTTGTCATTCTATTCTCTTAAAGTATTTGTGATAAACACCATCACATTAAACCTATCCAAGTTTCAATGCGAATATTATATTTTCATTCATTATGATATGGGGGAATTGTTTTTAAAATAAAAACATTCAATATCTTCTTAATGTAGTGGAGATAACTGCTATTCATCACATGTTAAATTCAAACACTTTCTGTCATAAAAATATACAATTTTCCCGTTTAAACACAGTAAGAATATGTTAAATTTCACCTTTAACCGTGTAGCTCTCTGTTCAAGTTTCATCTCCAGGCTAGTACGTTTACTAGATGCTTGTTCCTGCCATTCTTTACGTCGCTGCGTCTCGCGGCGATTCTGTAATACCTTGTTTAATTCTGGTTTCTCCAGCACATTAACTCCCCTTTAACATTATAAAATACAATATTACATGCATAACATTGGCAAGTTAAATGATAAATATAGTCTCTCACAAGTTTCTATGTATATTGATATTCTTTACCATCGTAAATCTATTTTCAGAAACTGTGAACGTTTGTTTGTTTCATTTTAGGCCTTTTCCCAACAGTATTTCAGTCATATAGGCGGGTAGTTTCCTAACCATGGTTCCTGGAGAGTTACACCAGTACTAGACTACCTTCCTCCGCGCTAAACTACCAAAGCATCTCCCGGGGATCGAACCCACGCCAGAGAGGTATCTGGATTAGAAGTCATCGACTCTAACCCCTCGACCACGAAGGCAGTTAACTGTGAATGTAACTAGGTATCTAAAAGGTAAATGAAATCTCTCCCAAGTTTCTATGTATTGTCATTCTTTACTATCATAATCTATTTATAGAAATTTTGACCTTAACCTTAATATCATACAATGGTAACTTGGAATCTAACAGCAAAATGCAGTCTCTTTCAAGTTTCTATCAATTGTCAAATTTTAACATAGATCAATTTGGGACATGACTATTTCCATAATACTTGCCACATTTACTGCACCTGCTTTGGCCCTATTGCTTAAAAAGTGATGTCAAGCACTGAGCAGTGGTTAAAATGCAGTCTTTTACTTGGGTTGAAATTTACCTTAGCACCTGGTTACAAATAAAGTAGTGATGTCAAATGGACTGTGAGTGAGCAATGGTTAAACTGCAGCCATTTACTGGGTTTCCAATTTACCCAGATAGTGATGTAACAAGCATTGCAGTTTGCAAATTGGATATGCACATATGCTGATCAAACTGCCTTAACTTTTTCTTTTTTAATGGTTTGGTTTTTACATAGGCATACTCAGAATAAGTCATATGACGACACAGCTTTACTGGTGGATAAAGACCTCAGGTGCCCCTACCTGTTGTAGGCATGATATTCAGCCACAATTAGGACAAACGATGTTCTGTATTAGCTAGCTGGATAGGTTCCCCACATGTTCCTAGTGGGATTTCATCCTACAGCGAGGAGGGCAAAAAGTTTGAAGTCAACGACCTTAACCACTTGGAAATCACCCATTTTTGTGCTGCAAAAATGTCTTATTAAATAAAACACAACTTACCTTTTATAATTTAACAATAATTCTTTATGCAATGCTTGTCTAGTGGGCGATTCAACACAAGGATTGGGAAGTTTCTTTGGTACGATGATACCGTCATCGGAGGATTGCGACGGTGTTCGTTCCTTGTTGGCATTTATGGTATCCATGGCAACCACATCTGCCTCGTCATTATAGTCTGGTTCAGGCTCCATATTATCATTATACATATCCTCTGAAATAATACAATAAAATAATACAATAAAATAATACAATACAATACAGCTTACCATAATATCTTAAAAAAAACCCCAAAAAACGCAACCATTACAACATACAGTAATAATTGTCCTATTAAATGACATAAGAAAATCAAGTTCTTTAAAGATCCTGTAACACATTTTTTTCATGGTTTTATTTCATAAATATGATGCTCAAATTATGATTTGTCAATCTTGTAAGTTCAAATAAGCATTATTTATAAAGATATTACCCAATTTAACATTTTGCGTAAATAAAGGGAGGTAATTAGAAATTTATTTTCTATAAATTCCAAGTCAAATTTTCCAATAAGAAATAAATGCATGTAACTTATTGATTAAATATAATGTGCACAAATATTTGCAGCACACATTTTACATATTCTTGGATGTTTGAAAATTGTTTTATTTGCATAATTATATACATATATAATATTTTGCAAGTGTATGATACATACAGTAACAATATCAATCACAAAACATACAGGATCTTTAAGATAAGATGAAAAATTTTGTTGATGTACATGTACTAGTAGATCTTTATAAATTCTCTTAGTAAAGCATCATCTGATATTAAAAAGGTCGGTCAGCATTGTCTAAAGAAGAACAATAGATATTTAGGTTATTACCATATATGTCCTTTAAAATAGCAAAGGTCAGGGAGCATCGATATTCTCTTTAAATAACTAAAGTCAATCAATATATTAACGATTTTTCTAAAATTTACAAAAATACCAGTAAGTCAAGAATTGGCAAGTGTTATCATGTTTTTATGAAGTAACACAAGTCATTGGACAAGAATGTCCTAATTAATTTAAAATAACTTCAACATGTCCTTTTTATTCAATTTATGCATGTCCTCTATAATTAATTCAACATGTCATCTTTATTCAATTTATGCAAGGGTCTGACAATTAATTCATCATGTCCTCTATAATCAATTTATCATGTCCTCTATATTCAATTTATATGTTCTTTAAAATTAATTCATGTCCTCTATATTCAATTTATGCATGTCCTCTATAATTAGTTCATCATGTCCTCTATAAAAAAATTTATCATGTCCTCTTCATTCAACTTACGCATTTTCTTTATAATTAATTCATCATGTCCTCAGTATTCAATTGACACATGTCCTCTTTAATTAATTCAACATGTTTTCTATAATGAATTTATGCATGTTGTCAATAATTTATTAAAGCATATATCTCTTTCTTAATTAATTCATAAATGTCCTCTTCATCTAAATTATCAGGTTCTCTATAATCAACGCAATAATTTATTCAACATTTTCTGTGAAATTTTGTTATAACCACAGACATATCCTCAATGATTAATTTATGCATATCCTCAAAAAAAAATTTAAGTCACACTTAACATATTTATCTACATGTCAAATCTGCTGTGTATTGACAGTTTTAGTTTTAATCTTGTCTGCAAAATAGTACAAATGACACATACAATGCTTGTGTGTTATGCAAGTGTTACATAACGCCTTTCATAATTACATGTTCTTGTTTCATCTACGTACATATTCTGCATTAATATGATTCATAAACATTCATCTACATTATGAACGTCACATATAATACACAATTGGTCATTCAATGGGCAAAGTTTCTTATTTACAACTTAACACACTGCACTATTACTAACAGCAACGATTGTTATTTCTCAACTATAATCACGCCAGGAAATTCAACACAATTGCTGGGATTTGTAAGTTACATAAAACAATGACAAGAAAATATGCTACAATTTGTCAACAATTAATGAAACAATCAGAACAATGATTAATTTTCTGAAAATAAGAAAATATAATATCAAGTTTAAGTTTCCTGTCATAAACTATACATATATATTAAAGGGAGGCTACTGTGACTTGTCTAAGGAAATAGTCTATACCAGTTACCTCTCTTTAGTTGATAGCATGCCTCTAACATGGTGTGGTTTTGTGTGTTTTTTTTTTCAAACTATTCCCATAATCTTATTAATTCTTTAAAAAGTTTTCTTTCTGATAAAAATACTTCCTCTAATAAATCTTATTTGCAAACAAATTTGTCTGTTCTGTCCATCAAGAGGCACACATATGCTGTGCATTGAAAATGAAAGCACACTTGCTTGTATTATCATATATGTAGTATGTGTGTATATAAAGTTAAAGCACACTGCCACATTTGCCTTCTAGGTTAGTAAAACATAAAACATTATCTATATATCTATAAGATAATAAGTGCATCTTCTATGTTAATGACTGACAGTTAAAACATACCTTGGTACATATTATTATTACCTTATTATACATAGCCAATAATAGAATTAATCTAATTTTGAGTAAAATATGACAACCATAGAGATACATCTGACAACACTGCATCATAAGATAACTAAGTCAATGATGGTCGAGGACATCATAATTATATAACAGCAATAGAGACTATATGACAGCTACTGATGGCTGACAACACTGTATCACAAGGATAACCAAAAAGTCAATTATGACTGACAACACTGTATCACAAGGATAACCAACAAGAGCTGTCCGTAAGACAGCGCGCTCGACTTTTTTATTGCTTGCCAATAAAAAAAGTTTTTGCAGTAAAAGGCAATACAAGAATCTCTGTATTTTTAAAGTGAACTAGTTGTTTGATACCCTTGAATATTACAGCAATGTTTATATGACATAATTTATGGTAAAGTGAACAAGTGGATAGGAATGAATTTTTTTAGATTTTTTAAGTTTTTTAGTGCTTGCCTATAATACAAAACATTGACAGTTAAGGGCCATAATTCAAATAAAATCTTTGACAGAATTACCTTCTCCTGGACATGTTTGGGAATCATGATTGTAAACAAGTATTCCAACTTTCAAATTAATATCTCAAACAGTTCAGTCAAAAAGTGGACTGGTACTAAAAACTTAACCAAGATTCTAAGTCGATAAAAGGCCTTAATTTTTAAAACAAATCCTTGACAGAGTTACCTCCTCTTGCGTACAGATGGGGGTAATGATGTGAAATAGCATTAAAAGTTTCAAAGCAATATCTCAAAGGGTTAAGGCAATAAGTGGATTTTACCCATATTCAATGTATTTTCTAAGTCAAAAAGGGGCATAATTCTGTCAAAAACCTTGACAGAGTTATGTCCTCTTGTCTGTTGATGAAGGTCGTGATGGTAAACAAGTATGGTCATTTTCAAAGCAATACCTCCAATGGTTTTGAAATAAAGTGAGGTGGTACAAAAAACTTAACCAAGCTCAATACACTTTCTAAGTCAAAAAAGGGCCATAATTCTGTCAAAAACCTTGACAGAGTTATGTACTCTTGTCTGTAGATGGAGGTTATGATGGTGAACAAGTATGGTAAGTTTCAAAGCCATACTTGTAATACTTCTGAAATAAAGTGGGGTGGTACGAAAAACTTAACCAAGGTGTGACGCCAACGCCGACGCCGACGCCGACGCCGGGGCGAGTAGGATAGCTCCCCTTTTCATAGAAAAGTCGAGCTAAAAAGTCAATTATGTCTGACAACACTGTATCACAGGACAACCAAAAAGTCAATTATGTCTGACAACACTGTATCACAAGGATAACCAAAAGGTCAATAATGGCTGACAACACTGTATCACAGGACAACCAAAAAGTCAATTATGTCTGACAACACTGTATCATATGATAACCAAAAAGTCAATTATGGCTGACAACACTGTATCACAAGGATAACCAAAAAGTCAATTATGACTGACAACACTGTATCGTAGGACAACCAAAAAGTCAATTATGGCTGACAACACTGTATCACAGGATAACCAAAAAGTCAATAATGGCTGACAACACTGTATCACAAGGATAACCAAAAGTCAATAATGGCTGACAACACTGTATCATATGATAACCAAAAGGTCAATAATGGCTGACAACACTGTATCATATGATAACAAAAGTCAACTAGAGGATGCTTTTGTAAAAAAGCGCATGTCTCCCCCACTGCTGAGAATAACTGTGAATGGAAACAGGAATGGAAATGGAGATAAGATAATGTAAATACCCGGTAGTCACTTCAATGAAGGCTGTCTATGGATGGTTTCTATTGTTAAGGTTGTATGAGAAGATGCTTCCTAAACTGTTTGTTTTTAACCAGGTATTCAATTTTGAAAATCCTGGTTATTCAATCAGCGTATGGCAGGCGGGCGTCAAACGAAATTGCACTTGATGGTCATATTAAAAGAGGGATCATCTGCTCAATAAGACCAATCATCCTATGAAGTTTGAGGGTTGTAGGTCTAAAGGAACTCTAGTTATCATCCGGAAAGGAGAAATAAACCAACGGTCGCTGTGACCTTGACCTTTGACCTACTGACCATTAAAACAATAGGGATCATTTGATTAATAAGACCAATCATCCTATGAAGTTTGAGGGTTGTAGGTCAAAAGGAACTCTAGTTATCATCCGGAAATGAGAAATTGACCAACGGTCACTGTGACCTTGACCTTTGACCTACTGACCCCAAAAACAATAGGGATCATCTGCTCTATAAGACCAATCATCCTATGAAGTTTGAGGGCTGTAGGTCAAAAGGAACTCTAGTTATCATCCGGAAACGAGAAATTGACCAACGGTCACTGTGACCTTTACCTTTGAACTACTGACCCCAAAAACAATAGGGATCATCTGCTCAATAAGACCAATCATCCTATGAAGTTTGAGGTCTGTAGGTCTAAAGGAACTCTAGTTATCATCCGGAAACGAGAAATTGACCAACGGTCAGTGTGACCTTGACCTTTGACCTACTGACCCCAAAAACAATAGGGATCATCAGCTCTATAAGACCAATCATCCTATGAAGTTTGAGGGCTGTAGGTCAAAAGGAACTCTAGTTATCATCAGGAAACGAGAAATTGACCAACGGTCACTGTGACCTTGACCTTTGAACTACTGACCCCAAAAACAATAGGGATCATCTGCTCAATAAGACCATTCATCCTATGAAGTTTGAGAGCTGTAGGTCAAAAGGAACTCTAGTTATCGTCCGGAAACGAAGAATGGACGGACGGACTGACGGACGGACGGACTGACGGACGGACAGGGCAAAAACAATGTGTCTCCCCCCGAGGTGGGGGAGACATAATTATGGCTGATAACACTGTATCACAGGATAACTAAAATGTCAATTATGACTGACAACACTGTATCATATGATAACCAAAAGGTCAATTATGTCTGACAAGACTGTATCATAGGATAACCAAAAAGTCAATTATGACTGACAACACTGTATCACAGGATAACCAAAAAGTCAATTATGGCTGACAACACTATCTGGGCTTTTTTTTAAATTTCTATTGCTGTAGCCTTATACAGGCTATACCTCAAGAAAATTTCTTTAAAATCATGCAAATTCCCCAAATTTGAAACTTAAACCTGTAAATTTGATTCCCTGTCAGCTTTTTGCCAAACATGAAATTTTCATTGTTTTGACCCAAGTCCATTTTTGATATTTAGTGTAGTAAACATTAAGCTTACAATTCTTTAAAGATATGTTTTAAAATTGAAAATCTGACTGAGTATCAATACTGAGGGTAATATGAGGAGGGTAATATTCTGAACATCAGTGATATTTATAAAGTCCCTGCCACAATGTTTAAGAAATAATATATCCCAAACAGTAATTTTATTGCAAAATTAAATCACTGTTTGGTGTTCGAATGCAAGGAATTATATCACAAGAGTGTAACCCCAGTGATATAATGATGCACATCCAAATGACAAACAGTGATGTTATCAAGCAATATAATCACCATTTTGGATATATTATTTAAATTCTAACACGACATCAACAAATAAATGCTGCCCTACCAAATACCAAGTTTATTTGCACCCCGATTTGTTTTCATACTTATTTTCAGCGCGTCTCATTTTTAATGGTTGTGTCACATATCTAATGATTATGTCACATATGTTTAAATATAGAACGTCAACAGTGATTTTATTGCATAATAACACACACTTTCGGTTCTTCTATGTTTAATAGAGTAAAATGCATTTGTGTTAGAATTAACAATATACATAAAAAATGATGTCAATTAATTAAAGCTTTCGAAATAAAACAATTTTCAAACCTAATTCTCATAGAATTATACAAACTTGATTAGCTTTTGCTGTTAACCTGAATTCTTGTTTAAATATTCTGAAAATCAATGATGTTATATAAATTGAATCCTTCACAAAACAACAATATTTCTCTGGTTCTGTTAAAGTCAGTAACACTGTAAGGCAATTACAATCACATGCCTGTCAAATGAAATCAATGAAAATATCAGACTGTGATGTTATCCCCAGATGAATTTCCTCATTTTAATCCCATGTAATCCCAGATTCTATGCACTCAGGTGTAACTACGGTGAAACTAGGGTCTGCTAAACCTTTACCCTACTGGCGGCAAATGATATCTAGCCATGTTACCCTAGAGCAAACCAAGACCAGCCAGCTCATTTGAGTGCAGTCTAAGTAAATCTCGGTCTGCACTGGTTGCTATTCAGTCAGTACTTATTTTTTTCCCCTAAAAATTATAAATTGTTTTGACCCAAGTCCATTTTTAATATTTAGTATAGAGAACATTAAACTTATAATTCTTTAAAGATATGTCATAAAATTGAAAATCTTACTGAGTATTTAAATAAATCTGAAGAATCCACTTTAGCTAAACTTTTTAATTCATATATTAAGTGATTGACTCAAACAGAACTTTTCACTTCAACAATTTGAATTAATAAATAAAGAGCTGTATAAAAAATATCAGATAATTTTTCTTCATTTGACATAATTCATCAGACAGACAGTCAGTCTATTTATAATTAATCTAAAAACAAAAATATTCGATCAATATTCACTACTGTAATAATACAGCCTTCCTAAATCTAGAAGTAAACCATTTAGCTCGAAATACCCATAAAAGACAGAAAACTCTAATAGTAATCCAACTTTCAGTGATTAGGGTCATTACCTTAAAGCTATTCTCTTCCCACAAAAACAAAATGCATAAAATGTGTTTCTTTGGATTACCAACAATAAAAGAAATTTAGTCAAATATGTAACCAGTGGCTTCATCAATTTTTTTCATCAATCTGGCAGAAATATTAATCTAAGTTTAACAGTTTAAAATAATGCCTATTCATGGAAACAGACTAGTAAAAGGAACTCTGACCTTTGACTTAAAACTAAGGCATGACGGTTACTGTAAAAAGAGTGTTACAAGAATAATGAAACATTTCCAGTCATTTTCATGTGATAATTAAGTCTTCTTGATATAAATGAACCATAAAATTATGTGTAGTTATTTCAAAATCCACTGAAAGACATCAATGATAACAATTTACTGTCATAATATTATATCATGACTTTTATTATTCAAATGTGACCCTGACCTTTAGACTGCTAAACTGACTTGATCTTGGTCACTATATCTTAATTCTATCGAGTTGCACATCTATGGATAATTACTTCAAAATCCATCCATGATTAATAGAGTTATGCACAAAAAACAAACAATCTATTCACAATCCCATGACATTTAATGTCCAAGCATAACCTTGACCTTGAGGTGATGTTTCACCTAATTATTGTGTGGAACACATCATAAAAATTCAAGTGTGACCTTGACCCCTGAGTAATAACCCTTGGTTGTACCATGACACATAAGCACAAACATTTAGGTGTAACAATTTTCAAAATCAATAGGTAAATGACAAAAGTCATAGACCAGAAACGGCCATCTATTCATAATCATAGTATGAGATTGGTCAGTTTGGATGTACAAGTGTGACCTTGATCTTTGACCTGGAGACACTTTGTCATCATGTCCATCACATTTTTACCAAGTCTTTTTTAAAAACACATCCAGGAATGATAGAATTACTGACGGAACACACAACCATCGATGAACTGGACACATTTCGTCACATTTGTGACGTCCAATCATGTTGGCTACTCTGAGTCAGTAAACTTTTTGGAACTTTCCCTAAAATTAATGAATGGTTTTATTCTGATTAAAAGATGGAAAAGTCAAGTTAGTGTCAGGTAAGGGTTAAAAAATAAGCCTAAGAAAAGAAGAAGACATTCATTTGAAGCTCAGAGCAGTAATATGAAATTCTAATTATTGTCAAGCAAATTCTCAGGAGGGTTGCAGAAATATTTTTTTAAATGCTATAAAAATTCTTCTTTCTGGGCAGATTAGTAATGATAGGGGGAAAAATTGTTGAAATTAAAATAATTAACTATATAACACAAATTTTATCCTAAAATTCGAGATGATTTTAAGGAACTTTAAGCAAAGTAAGAAGAGATAAATTTAGAGTGACAAAAAAAAGAGTATAATCATAATATATACTATACTAAAAAGCAACAAAAAGCATAGTATAAAGACCAGTTTCTACATCCCCGTTATAAACAGTGATGACACACCAGGATATGAAAAGCTGTGCAAGTTACTATCCGAAAAAAACAAATACCTATTTTCTGGATATTTGTTAAAACAGTTTGAAATTTTTGGGCAAATTTAAAAACATTCTGGTTTTCCGGTGTGGCAGCATCACCGTAGTCCGGTACTGGCGTTTCCGGCATCACTTGCTCTGAAATTGTCAATGATGGTAAAAAAATATCGTAAGAAATAATTCAACAAATCTGCAACTCTTCCAAAAACTGATGATGTCCTGTTGAAATAAAATAATTATTTTAAAACAAATTAGTTATCATATACATGAAGTAAAAATTGTGATAAAAAAGAAGTTATTATGGTGCTTAAAATTTCATGCACTAATTATATTATAATAAAATCAGTCAAATATTATAAATCCCGGATATGCCCCATACCTTGGCAAAATAAAAAGTTCCTGATTTTTGTATTATAAAAACTCAAGGTAGTTAGAGCCTCCATCTAGTATGGGAACAAAAAAAATTATAAAATCCTCTGTCCCTTAATCCCTGTGGACTGCATGCTGGACAGATCCCTATTTTATTTGGCATTCCCACCCCATTCACTTGACCCTGTATACACAGTCCCCTCTCTATCCTTTGCTCTCCAGGAGGGGGGGGGGGGGGGGAAGGGGAAGCTTGTGATTATAATTGACTCAGATGCATAGAGAACTTCAATTGATTTTGGTAGAGATGAATCACTTTTACCTTGAAATTTTTTTTTTAATATTTTTAAACAGATGCACATTATTTCAATATTTCATAATACATATACAACAATATACAAGTTATTGGAATGCACTTTCTTTTTGCAATATTTCAGTACAATTAGGAGCTTTCCTTAACAACTGGCATATCCTTATAGTATCTTTACTTTGTGGTAAAGGAGTAGCTACGTGTCCACTTGATAATTTGGACAAAACCATTAAAATTGATCATTTCCAGGGAAAATTTCATAATAAGAACTGACTCAATAGCTAACAGCTGCAGTAGACTATGATCAGACAGCATGGAGGTGCAAGCTGGTTTTGGTTTGCACTGGTGGCATGGGTAGTCAATCAGTTGCCGCTAAAGCACAATTATTAAATACAGTATAATCCCTCAATTAAGACCACCATCGGGACTGAACCAAAGTGGTCTTAATTGTGGGGCTGTCTCAATTGTAGATATTCTTGACAAAGGACAGAAAATTGGTCTTAATAGCATGGTGGTCTAAATTCCAAGGTGGTCTTAAGTAGGAATTCTACTGTACTGAACAAAATCCTAAATTAACTAACAATTTGACTGTCAAATAATTTTAAGGGCTATTTTGACTCTCTTAAAGCCATAATCAGTCATTTTTGTCAGGTCATATTTAATTTCTGTTATAAAATGAGGCTGGAGATTACAGCAGATTTTTAACTAGTTTATAAACCTTATTAATCTAGCATTTCAACAATGAAATCTTTAACCTTCAGCCTGCTGGCGGCTACAGTATCTACCCATACTGCCCATGCAGACCAAGATCAGCTGGCATATCCATGCCATCAGATCATTGTCTACACTGTTCGCTATCCAGTCAGTACATATTTTGAAATTTTTCCTAAGATTGAAAGAAAGGCAAGTCCACTTACGATATTCGGGGGTATATTTCTATATAGGATTGAACAATTGACAATTCCAAATTCCAAGCATGGTAAATACATGCATGTAAAGTATCTTGCCACCAGAAAGCTTGACCCTTGGCCTTCTGGCGGCAACTGATTCGACCCCTGTGAACAATATACAGACAAAGATTAAAGCCAGTACATCCGTGCTGTCTCGTTATGGTCTGCACAGTGTTTGCTATTAATGTAAGTCAATACATTTTTTTTGCAAATTTTCCCTATTAATGATGAATGGTTTCGTCCAAATTAAAAAAACGGACAAGATCATTTAGAATATTTAGCATTGTCCAGGTTAATTTCCAATTATCTTGCAACTGTATCAGAATTTGAAATTTATTTGGTATATTATTATCCATGCAGTATTATCATAAAATGTAGTGAATTTCTCGCTAAGAGAGTAATTCAGTTAATGTCATATCAATCATTGAAAATATCATATCCCGTATGATTCAATATCATAATCCCGTATGAACTAATATATTATATCACAAATATGAAATTAATTATAATGAGATATAAATGTACATGTAATTATATTCCATTGATATATCACCACTAGAAAGGTGTTTACTAAAGTTTTAAATGTTCTTAACCAATATAATGAATTTAAGTATGATATGTGACTGTGAAACTAAGAGATCCTGTAATTTTAGCAAAGAGGCATATCTCATGTACTTGCGATGTTTTTCTGTAAATCCATATATACAGTTTTTATAAAAGAAATGAGATTCTCCTTATTATTGGTCAATTACAAATCTAATGTCAAAAATCAACCAATTAAAAGCCTGAGATATCTAAACTTTTATCAATTGAAAGCTGGTGTCAAGGAAGTTTCTATTTAACTTTAGGGCAGATTGTTGCAGACACACTTCCTTTTATGTATATTACAAATGTTATTTAAATGACATGTATTTTCTCTTATACGTGAATTAATTCATGAATTATGGTTAAAATCTACAGTCATATCAAAGTGACCACTCAAACAGTTTGTTGACATTGTAACAGAGACACTACAGTCCCTCCCAACTTGCCATCATAACTCGATGACCATTCATTATAATATTCTTACATGATTTAATATTTAATAATACTGATATTTTTTCTTTCGTTGGGTTTAATGTTGCACCAACACAGTATAGGTCATATGGCGAATTTCCAGCTTTACTGGTGGAGGAAGACCTCAGGTGCCCCTTTGTAAATTTTTCTAGGCACAAATGGGCACCTGAGTATTAAGAACCGCTGACAATGCGTAAGTTAAGCTGGATGATTTTTCTCTTGTTGCTGGTGCGGCTCAATCCTACAACAGTGAGAGGCAAGTACTTTGAAGTCAACAACCTTAACCACTCGGCCGCGGGTGCCCTGAATAATATTACTGATAAAACACTTGAATTCATTCGCTACAACATCACTAGCACCAAAGCCCTGCGTACCAATTTGTGGCAGTCACTCAATGTCTTGCATATTCTTATACAGATATTTTAACTTTTACTTTCAGATGTCAGTTATCATCTTACTGATATTTCTCAGTATCAGACCACCTGAATCTACACTTTTATGAATGGTCTATGACCTTGTACAGCCATTAAGGCACAACATTTAAAGACAGCCACTTTCTTCATAAAAGCAAACTATACAATATTTCATCCTAAAACCAAGCGCCCATGCATAGTTTTATTATCTTCTATTGACGGAACAGGTTCATTTTGCAGCATTGTGTTGAAAATGCTTTATTTGGACCAATATTAAGAACTATTCATTTTGTGTTTTAGAATATCCATGCATGTACACTTAAACAAAACAAGAGGGCCATGATGGCCCTGGATCGCTCACCTGACACAACCGCATCCAAGCATCTTAAACAAGCATCATGGCCAAGTTTGATGACAACTGAGTCAAACATGTGACCTCTTGTGTGTTATAAAGATTTTTCCATATTTGGGCAATGTGACCTAATTTTTGACCGGACACGACCCATATTCAAACTTGACCTAGAAATCATCAAAACAACTTCTTGACAAATTTCCAGGATATTTGGATGAAAACTGCAGCCACTAGAGTGTTAACAAGCTTTTTCTATATTTAGCTCCTGTGACCTAGTTTTTGACCGGACATGACCCATCTTCGAACTTGACCTAGATATCATCAAAACAACCTTCCTGACAAATTTCCAGAATATTTGAAAGAAAACTGCAGCCACTAGAGTGTTAACAAGCTTTTTCTATTTTTAGCTCCTGTGACCTAGTTTTTGACCGGAGATGACCCATCTTCGAACTTGACCTAGATATCATCTAAACAACCTACCTGACAAATTTCAAGAATATTTGGATAAAAACTGCAGCCTCTAGAGTGTTAACAAGCTTTTTCTATTTTTAGCTCCTGTGACCTAGTTTTTGACCAGACATGACCCATCTTCGAACTTGACCTAGATATCATCAAAACAACCTTCCTGACAAATTTCCAGAATATTTGGATGAAAACTGCAGCCACTAGAGTGTTAACAAGCTTTTTCTATTTTTAGCTCCTGTGACCTAGTTTTTGACCGAAGATGACCCATCTTCGAACTTGACCTAGATATCATCAAAACAACCTTCCTGACAAATTTCCAGAATATTTGGAATAAAACTACAGCCTCTAGAGTGTTAACAAGCTTTTTCTATTTTTAGCTCCTGTGACCTAGTTTTTGACCGAAGATGACCCATCTTCGAACTTGACCTAGAAATCATCAAAATAACTTTCCTGACAAATTTCAAGAATATTTGGATGAAAACTGCAGCCACTAGAGTGTTAACAAGCTTTTTCTATTTAAGCTCCTGTGACCTAGTTTTTGACCGGACATGAACCATCTTCGAACTTGACCTAGATATCATCAAAACAACCTACCTGACAAATTTCCAGAATATTTGGATGAAAACTGCAGCCACTAGAGTGTTAACAAGCTTTTTCTATTTTTAGCTCCTGTGACCTAGTTTTTGACCGGACATGACCCATCTTCGAAATTGACCTAGAAATCATCAAAATAACCTTCCTGACAAATTTCAAGAATATTTGGATGAAAACTGCAGCCTCTAGAGTGTTAACAAGCTTTTTCTATTTTTAGCTCCTGTGACCTAGTTTTTGACCGAAGATGACCCATCTTCAAACTTGACCTAAAAATCATCAAAACAATTTTCCTGACAAATTTCCAGGATATTTGGATGAAAACTGCAGCCACTAGAGTGTTAACAAGCTTTTTCTATTTTTAGCTCCTGTGACCTAGTTTTTGACCGGAGATGACCCATCTTCGAACTTGACCTAGATATCATCTAAACAACCTTCCTGACAAATTTCAAGAATATTTGGATAAAAACTGCAGCCTCTAGAGTGTTAACAAGCTTTTTCTATTTTTAGCTCCTGTGACCTAGTTTTTGACCAGACATGACCCATCTTCGAACTTGACCTAGATATCATCAAAACAACCTTCCTGACAAATTTCCAGAATATTTGGAATAAAACTACAGCCTCTAGAGTGTTAACAAGCTTTTTCTATTTTTAGCTCCTGTGACCTAGTTTTTGACCGAAGATGACCCATCTTCGACCTTGACCTAGAAATCATCAAAATAACTTTCCTGACAAATTTCAAGAATATTTGGATGAAAACTGCAGCCACTAGAGTGTTAACAAGCTTTTTCTATTTTTAGCTCCTGTGACCTAGTTTTTGACCGGACATGACCCATCTTCGAACTTGACCTAGATATCATCAAAACAACCTTCCTGACAAATTTCCAGAATATTTGGATGAAAACTGCAGCCACTAGAGTGTTAACAAGCTTTTTCTATTTTTAGCTCCTGTGACCTAGTTTTTGACCGGAGATGACCCATCTTCGAACTTAACCTAGATATCATCTAAACAACCTTCCTGACAAATTTCAAGAATATTTGGATGAAAATTGCAGCCTCCAGAGTGTTAACAAGCTTTTTCTATTTTTAGCTCCTGTGACCTAGTTTTTGACCCGAGATAACCCATCTTCGAACTCGATCTGTATTTCATTGAGACAAACATTCTGACAAAGTTTGATGATGATCCAATCAAAACTGTGACTGCTAGACTGTTAACAACCCAATTGTTAGAGTGTTAACAAGCTTTTTCTATTTTTAGCTCCTCTGACCTAGTTTTTGACCGGAGATGACCCATCTTCGAACTTGACCTAGAAATCATCAAAACAACCTTCCTGACAAATTCCAGAATATTTGGATGAAAACTGCAGCCTCCAGAGTGTTAACAAGCTTTTTCTATTTTTAGCTCATGTGACCTAGTTTTTGACCCGAGATAACCCATCTTCGAACTCGATCTGTATTTCATTGAGACAAACATTCTGACAAAGTTTGATGATGATCCAATCAAAACTGTGACTGCTAGACTGTTAACAACCCAATTGTTGACGACGAACGACGCACAACGCACGACGCACAACGCACGACGACGGACGCCGGACATAGCCCCATCACTATACCTCACCATGACCACTTCGTGGTCAGGTGAGCTAAAAATCATGACTGGTCAATAAAGGACCTTGATATTAAATTTCTAGGGGCAACTGAAATTTGGTTTCAACTTGATAAAATATCTTGAGCACATTATGGAAAGATTAAAAACTTAAGTTGACCTTTCAGATAGAAGCTAAACATTACAAAATTGTCTTAGAACTGACCAAGAAAATATATGAATTTATTCTTTGACCATGATAGTAAGCAGGAATAAAGCTATGGCATGGCTGGACCACAAATATTTTAGTTGGAGATGTGACCTAGGATTTAGCCATGGCAAATTTAGGGGATTTTCCCAAGATAAATAATTAAGGCCACCGGTATTTTGGTTGGGGATGTGACTAACATCATTTGCAGGGGAAATAGGCATGGCCAACCTAGGCCACGGGTATTTTGATAGAACTGACCAATATTTTAAGGAAAGACTGGGCCATAGGCAATGGTTACTATCTGATTGCAGATCAGGGATATTGCATGGTGGTCTAAAGTAAAAAATCTCATAGTTCTCCGCAGGACTTTACGGATCGCCTAGTTACAATGCAATAAATTATTATTGCATCTTGAATAACCAATTTGTCTGAATCAAAGAAAAATGCTTTCAGATCTAAACTGAGTGTAAACAAAGTGAATGTGGTCAAAAAAGTCTACATATATAGTTTTAAAAATCCAGTGCATATCTGAAGCCTTGTCAATAAAGATAACTTTGTAGCTATAGTAGACTTAAACGTCTTTCCTTACATTATTAATCATGTTCTTCAAACTGTAAAGTAAATTGTCTCCATTGAGAAGTCTTTTCTGGAATTGTAATTATAGCATGAGTGATGGCAGAGTTAATATTCTAACAAATTTCACTTTACAGGAGATTTTTTTAAGGCATGCAAAAACCATTAGCATCAATTACGTTTTAAATTGCTGCGAAACTGTTCTTCTGTATTTCTACTTAACAACTTAAACTGCATCTGCTTGCAGCCAGTGTTTCTGGAATGTAAACTAATCCAACTTCTTTGAATGCATGCAATATTTCAAGACACAAGCTTCAACAAAGTGCAATATCCATGTTTCCTCATACAGGATGTTTGTCTGAATGAATTTTTTTAATACTTAGAATTTCTATAGAGTATAATCCTGAACTAACTTCTGTAACATGAACTTACTTCTGTAACATGAACTTACTTTTGTAACATGAACTTACTTAATTTAAAGAATGAGCAAATTTTTAAAAGCCAGCTGCTTCAAGTCTTTTATTTTGAGTTTTCCTAATAAATATCAATGAAATATCTGTGCTGTAAGCATAGTATTTTATTTTTCTAATTATAAGTCCACATTGTTTTAAATGACAAGTCTTTAAATTTAATAGCTTTTAATGATCAACTTTGCATTTCAATGTTTAACTTTGCATTTTAATATTAAACTTTGCATTTCAATCATAATCGTTGCATGTTTAACATGTTTAGCTTTGCATTTTAATATTTAACTTTGCATTTCAATCATAAATATTTACCTTTGCATTTCAATGTTCAACCTAATGCATTTCAATTTTTAACTTTGCATGTCAATGATAGTCTTTGCATATCTAACATGTTTAACTTTATACATTTAAATATTAAACTTTGCATTAATCAATGATAATCTTTGCATGTTTAACATTTCTAACTTTGCATTTCAGTGTTAAACCTAATGTATTTCACTGTAATCTTTGCATGTTTAACTTTGCATTGTAATGCTTATAACTTTGCATTTCAAAGTTTAAACTTTGCACGTCAATGATAATCTTTGCACAGTTCAATGTTTAACTTTGCATTTCAATGTTTAACTTTGCATTTAAATGATAATCTATGCATATTTAAACTGTTTAACTTTGCATATCAATATTTAACTTTGCATTTCAATGTCCATCTTTGTAGCTTATAAGTGTTTAATCTAACCCTTGCAATCAAAATGTTTAGCTTAATTAGCATTTAAAAGTGAAGCTTTGCATGTAAATATGCAGCTTTGCATTTAAATGTTTAGACTAGCTTTAAATAGTTTAGCTTTGTTTTAAAGAGTTTAGCTGAGCTTTGAAGTGTTTATCAACATGTGAATCATAAAAAAAACATTTATTTACATGAAGTTAACTATGTTTAACACTGAATTTTAATGTTATAACAAGCAACTAAATGGTCTTTAAAATATGTACCTCCTTCATAATAAAATAGTAACATAATAACTTGTAGATTCTAAAGCACAGAAAAGCATTTCTTAAATTTAAATGAAGCTCTCTTCAACTGTTTGCTAATAACATTAGAGGTGCATCTCCTGTATACCATAGCCCATTTATTATACTTTTTTACTCTGTTTCCCGTACAGCGCCCTACAAAATAAACATTTCACTGAACAGGAATGGAATGAATAAATAATTACAGGAAGTTCAAGTTGAAAAGAAACTGTTAATTAATGACTGATATAAATAGATTTTGTGGTATCTGTAAAACTGATTATTCCCTATCTGAAACACTGAGGCTGGCCTGTATGTTGTAAACAATGAAAACCATCTGCTCTTGAAGACAAAATAAAAATGCTGAAAAAAAAACAACAGTTCATGCCTGCTTTATCTTTAATATTAAAGAAGTATGATTTAAAATATAATGCTTGTTGTGAATTTACAACTCTTATGTATTAGTATAAATACATTACCAAATTGGCAACGTAAAAGTTTTGAGTTTTTAATATACAATAAATAATTGCGCAGAGTGCAAATGGCTATAAATAATGATTAAAGTTTGTAAAAATCTTAGATTAATTGTACTATTTTAAGCTTCATTTCCTAACCTTTTTTCCCTATGTTTCTTACACATAATTATATTTCAATATAAAATTCTATGTCAGCTCAATTAAGACAATAAAGTGTCACCTTAGTCCAGTAATGGGTTAAATCCTTATAAAATTTATTTGGAGTTAACCCAATACTGCACTAAGGTTTGTCCCCAGACTGACGCGTGTGCTATATGGCATACATTCTAATGTTTCAGTCACAATTTGTTCTCACATGAAAAAATGCATGTAAGAGTTGTGGAACTTGGCAAGTCACCTAAATTCCCAACTCAGAAAACAGTTCATACTGAATATCTTCTTTGATTGTGGAGATACCGCTTGCATGCAATCTAACTTTATGCACATGAAATACATGAATAATCTCAATGAACAAGGGCCATAATTCTGTTTATATGCAGGCTGAGAGTAATGGGTCTTAACCTTGAAGTTAAAATTATTATCATTTTGATCCATGCGATGGTTTAATATTAAGTTATAAATTGACACTTAGTAAATACATTTGAAAAACCTATGACTTTTGCTTTATTAAGTAGAATATGCTTTTATTCAGCTGAATATGTGAATAAAAACAGTCATGGAGTATATATGTACATGCATAATATATGATACAGGATAAAAACTATAGAAGAGGTTTATATTACTTGATAAACAATGATGAAGAGGTTTATATTTCTTGATAAACAATGAAAAGGTGTAGTATATTATTTTATTAATCAATGGATAGTTGATATTTACCTGGAGCTCTATGGTCAGGACTGTTCTGTATATCAGACAACCTTTTTAATGATGTCTGCTTCTGGTCCTGAAACAAAATCAATTCATATTGTTATGCAAGTAACTTTCTCTTCGCATTTATGTTTTAATTTTCAAACTGTTTAATTTTTCTCAACAATTTTATTCAGTATATCTTCTTTTTGGAGAGAGAAAGACAGAAGTAATATGAATCAAATATTATGTGGATTAAAGAAAAAATTAAGAAATCTCTATATTGATTATAGTATGTTTAATTAAGTATGTCTCCCCCCCTCCCAATCATGTTTATGAGATTCAGAGCCTTAAACTCAGTCAAGATTACCAGTTTTCCCCAAAATTTCCTATATTCTCAGAGAATCTCTGGCCAGTGATGAGCATTTAATTGCATATGGTTTGTCACAATACCACTGATAGCTGAGCACCCTTGAATGTTTTATGATCACTGCCTGGTTGTGAATATATTTATGGATGATTTGTTTGGTAATGACCCAAATTTCGGTCTCCACAGCTGCTTCAAGTGGGGAAGTTGACAGTTTTTTTTGCAGAGAAAATGTTTAGTACCAGTAAGAGTTAAATAAGGTCAGGTATTTCTTCACTCTGTCTACAATACTTTTTAAACTTCAGCTTCAAAACAATTATTATAAAAAAAAGATACAAACAACATTGAACCTGTACAAATTTAATCTGTGACATTGTAATAATTAAGTACCTTAAAAAGACTAATTCAATTTTTAGGTCAAGTTTTTCATTTCAAGTTCAAAGCTAAAGACACTCGTCAAACACTCAATTAATTCACACACACACACGCACAAATTTATAAAAAAATACACTTCATCTCAAATTCACTAGCTCAATGAGAAACTTAATTTTATAAAGGGTTATAATAGTGTCCCATTAATCCATTATAACAAATAGCAATTATAGTTATAATGTTTAGGTCATATGAGATCTTGTGTAAATATACAAAACCCAATTTTTGTGCAAATACAAAATATGTATTTTAGATAGAGGTGACCCTTTTAAGAAACATATTCTATCCTTTATCAAACACAAACACTTAAGAAATGTCCAATTTGTACTGATAGATACAGATGGTTTGAGGAACCTGATAGTAATCCAGATAGTATCCTACTTGAAAGCCGACACAATTGCAAAACTGACATTTATTTGCCATGTAAACACTTTACATACCAATCTTTGACAACAAAATATGGCCCTACTAAGAATTATCAAAATACTCAAACAAACAAAAAATGTGTTTGTGATAGAAAGCTGTAATGTTTCTATAAATTCATATCATTTTTTTTTTTAGATTTGACAGCTGCTCCTTCGTTTGTTTGTTTTATTTTACGCCTTTTCCCAACAGTATTTCAGTCATATAGGCGGTTAGTTTCCTAACCATTGTTCCTGGAGAGTTACACCAGTACTAGACACATTCCTCTGTACTAAACTACCAAAGCCTGGAGAGTTACACCAGTACTAGACACCTTCCTCTGTGCTAAATTACAAAAGCATCTCCCGGGGATCGAACCCATGCCAGAGAGGTAACTGGATTAGAAGTCATTGACTCTAACCCCTCGACCATGGAGGCGGTATAGCTGCTTCTTCACCAGAATGAGTGTCGAACATAAAAATAGTGAAAAATTGAAATGTTGCATGCTAAAGGTTTAACTGATTCTTTTCATAATGTGTAGTGGTATCTATATCCCATAGAAGCAGTTAGTTTATACTAAGTTATTCTAGTTTGACTGTGTTGGATTTTAGATATAAGCTTATTGAAACCCTCTAGAACCTAGTTCCAGTGGAACCAACCAGTATTAAGCAATGAATGTAAAGTTTAAAATATCTTGCACAAGGAAACAACGGCTTGCCCCTGATGGGGTTTGAATCCACGTGTCCAGCATTATCCTTAGATTACTAGTCAGACAACTTGGCCATGCTGCCACATAGAACCCAATTCAACATTTCAACATTTTGAATTTTGAAAAATCTGCAGATGTGCCCATAAAACAGTAATCTAGGAACCTTCAATGAATGAATGGGACAAATGTTATTCCATGAAAAGGAGCACATGGTCGTCATCAATCAATCACCTGAATAAATTTTGTTGATCAATTCACTCAAAGAATAAATGTCAACAATTGGCTGTGTAAAGAAAAGCTCCTGCCCCCAGCAGACAAACCCCAGTGCTGTTTGTGTGGGTTGGGGATCAGCTCCCCCCCCCCCTAATTGGAACATGCAGCGGCTGTCTGTTAGGCAGGATCCAAACCCTGATTTGAACCCGCACCTGTGTAAGGAGTAGCCCCTGCCCTGATTTAAAAACAATTTAAAGCTGTGCAAGGAATATCCCCTGCCCCAATTTGAAACTGCAGCTGTGCAAGGAATATCCTATGCCTCAGTTTGAAACTGCAGCTATGCCATTACCTGATTTGAACCTGAAGCTGTGTTAAGAATAGCAATTTCCTGATTTAAACTCAAAGCTGTGTGAAGAATATCCCTTGTTCTGATTTAAACCCAAAGCTGTTTACTGAATAGCCTGAGCATCAATTTGAAACTGCACCTCTGTAAATAAAGCCAATGCCTGATTTTAACCCAAATAAATAACCCTATGAATATGAAATATCCCTTGCCTAATGCTGTGTAATTTTAAGGAATATCTATAGCTAGCTGTGTGAGGAATAGCCCTGGCCCAAATTTGAAACTCAGCAGCTGTGTAAGAAATAGCTAATGCCCGATTTGAACACAAAGCTGTGAGAGGAATAGCACCATGCAGCCAAAAGCTTTGCAAAGAACTAATCCCTTGATTAACAAAGTTTAAATTATAACCACTTGGTCATGATGGAGGACTGGCATAAGTTGAATATATAAATTGGAATTTTCTACAACATCATGTAGCCCCAATCTTTCCTTTAAGGAAAGAAAAAACACTTAAAACTTCTCCTATTCAGTTTATTTTAGGAAGAAATAAAACAAAATAAAAAGCTTAAATAAACAAAAGGAAGTGATAACAAAAGTTACAAAACATTCAATTGTTTACAATGTAGTTTAAATGAATTCTTTATTTCAATTGCATGATAAGGATAGTTATAAGTGTATTACTTCAGTACAAACATTTTCATTTAAGTAATAATATTATCAATTTGAACTAGAACTGCCAATATCATGGCGTGAATACCCCCGCATACCACTTTGTCAGAATCAACAGTGGCCATTTAGAGCTCAAGCTGCCAAATCTGAGGTTACTAAGCCAGTGCATTGCTAAGTTATGTATTCTACATGCTTCAAATGTGAAAATGTTAAAATCAATACATTGCGGACAGGACATTCTTTAGCAATTGAGAAGAAAAGCTTTTTTTGTCAAGGTCCCTGTGACCTTGACCTTTGACCCAGTGACCTCAAAATCAACAGGGGTCACCTTATAGTCATGATCAACATCCATGCCAAATATGAAGACTGTTGGTCAAAGGAATCTTAAGTTAATGGGTGGACAAACTTTTTTAAGTCAAAGTCCCTATGACCTTGACCTTTGATCCAGTGACCTCAAAATCAAAAGGGGTCATCTACTAATCATGATCAACATCCATGCCAAATATGAAGACTGTGGGTCAAAGGAATCTAAAGTTATTGGGCAGACAAACTTTTTGAAGTCAAAGTCCCTGTGACCTTGACCTTTGACCTGGTGACCTCAAAGTCAATAGGGGTCATCTACTTATCATGACTAACCTCCATGCCAAATATCAAGACTAAGGGTCAAAGGAATCTTAAGTTATTGGGCGGACAAGAAAAAACTGACGGACGGCCGGACAGCCGGACGGACGTACAAGCTGATTCCAGTATACCCCCTTTACAACTTTGTTGTGCGGGGGTATAAATATTGCCTTATTGTTAATAGAATCTCATTTTAGATAATTATGCTAATAAATGGACCATGTCAATCATAATTATAAATTAGGCACCTAAGTCCACATGTATTATATAAAATGAAGTTGTGTAACACTTAAAAATTCTAAATTTAACCTATATAAATCACTAGAATACAAAGTTGTGGTGTAGGGTGCTTGGGAAACTGAACCAGTTCTGGTGTCATCATATGGCTTCATTGTCACCATACCAGAGATTATATGAATCCAACAATTAAACAATCCCTGGTTCACAATGAAAGACAAACCATTCACCATGTACCAGGGCAATGATCCCCTCATAAGTATAAAAGATAATAATGATCAAAGTAAAACACCATCTTAATTGAAATTAGATTTCTAAATCATTTACAATTATTCAATATCAGATATATCTACATCACTAAAAACAGCAGCAGCATCCAGTAATAAAATACTTGCATCATAATCACATGGTGCATTATTTCTTGAAAAGTTGCTTACAAAATAAAGCTGACTTCAACTAACTATAAGCATTATCAATCTGAATCAAGAGGACCTTCGTTACTGGTAGGTTACAATGAACAATCAAAATGGGTAACTTCAATAGAATCCCACACATGTATATTGGAGTGACAACATGGTCATTTAAATATCAATGAAATTATCTGTTTATTAAGAGTTTGGTAATTTGATGTCCTGATGGGCTTCATCCTTTACATAAAAGAAATACCAAACAAAATTCAAGTCCTCTGAATATGGTCACTAAAACTGTCTTTTAGCAATTTTTCTTACTGTTATTATTTTTATTTTTGTTTATAATAGTCTTTAAAACATAGACATGGTAGTGTACTTTCAAATAATTAATCATTTTACATTGTGAGCTTTGTTGTTATATGAATTTTGACCTACTTTCTCTTTGAACCCACTTAGTGAAAAAAAACATGGCTGACAAAGCGGAATCACCTTAAAACTTTAAACGTGACCTTGATCTTGGAGGCAGGCCCGGGACATGGGTCTTGGACGCAACATATCATCATGACATGGTAGACATTAAAATGTGTCAAGTTATTTTAAAATCCTTCAATGCATAAAAACTGACAAGTTCAGTGGGTTTAGGCGACAGCAACCAAAAACATTACAGATTTACCTGACAGGAGTAAACTCTCGG